TTGCACTTGCACGGGGCATACATGCAAGATCGCTTGCACTTGCACGGGGCATACATGCAAGATCGCTTGCACTTGCACGGGGCATACATGCAAGATCGCTTGATCACAAACATATGCGTCCAAACTCAACAAGTAAGCACGGGGCATACATGCAAGATGCTTGATCACAAACATATCACAGTGTCCAAACTCAACAAGTAAGCACGGGGCATACATGCAAGATCGCGTGCACTTGCACGGGGCATACATGCAAGATCACTTGATCACAAACATATCCAGAGAACAGAGCAAACAAAGTCTGTATCTGAATCGGAATCTTGACCAAAAACGTCAACGGGACAACGGACTGGATTTTCTCAGAAAAAGTCCAGAGTTCTTGCACAGCACAAAACACAAACGATGCTGCAAAGGTAACGGCTCCCCAAACAAACACGCAAAAAAGATAAATCAAAAGGAATGTTCGGTGGTATTCCCTGCTACTTTCTTGCACGCTGCGCGGGTTTTCGTCTGCTCTCAGGCTCTTCTTTTTCTTATTGTGAAAGAAGCGGCGGCATATGATGATTGCGCAGTTCCTTATGCGTTTTCTTTCTTTTGTGCTTTTTTTTTTTTTTCTGCTTTTTTGCAACAAAAGAAAGAAAACGCATAAGGAACTGCGAAGCCGCAACGGGTCATCTAGTGTCTTTAATTCAGCCTCTACAACAACCTGGGCTTTCTTATTATTAAAAATAAAAATAAAAAATAAAAAATCGTTCCAACTGGCCTAGCTCAGTTGGTATATATACCCCTGACCTGTTGACATACAGACCCGGGTTTGAACTCCACTGGAAGTAGACTTTTTTTTTTTTTTTTTTTTTGTAGAGTTATGGAGGACTATGGTAGAGTTCAATGATGATATCCCCTTTGCAGTGGTAATATCATTGTCTCAGAAACACATTGCAATGGAATGCAGACTAAAGTAGAGTTATGGAGGACCGATGACAATTCGTCACACTCCCCCAATGATGATGATGATGATGATGATGATGATGATGATGATATCTGTGAGAGATCCTTTCAAAAGAGAGTGAAAAATGCGCCAGTTTCGGTGAAAAATTCGCCAAAATTCGCCGAATTTTGGGCCTTCCATTAACCGCTTCTCGTCACACTCCCGCAATGATGATGATGATGATGATGATGACGATGATATCTGTGAGAGATCCTTTCGAAAGAGAGTGAAAAGAGAGTGATATTGGAACACCTGTGAGTGTTAATGAATGTCCCCACGCAAAAAAAAAAAAAAAAAGAGTGACCGCCCTTTCAAAAGAGAGGAAGAGAGTGAAAAAGGAGGAGGAAGAGAACAAAAAGAAACGGAACACATATGTTCGAATCGTGTTAATGGATGTCCGTCCCCCCCCCTCCCACCAAAAAAAAAAAAAAAAAAAAAAAACGTTGATGAACAGATCTTGTGTTCGAATCGTGATCGGATCAGAGGGATACCCCATTGCTAAAAGGGGTATCCCCTTGAGTTGCTGCGTTGTTCGGTGCTGTGGTCACCCTCCCTGTAGACCGGGGGGGGGGCAATCCCACTAGCAGCGTTGAGTAAACTAAACGTCCTTTTTTTTTTTTTTTTTTTGAACCTCCTCCTTTATGTTGTTCGGTGAGGGCATGCTCACAATGCGATCTTTTTGGATGCATCTGACAACAATCACGGCACGGGTTGTGGATGTTCCTGACCACAATTATGTCCACATTAGCGGAAAATGTCCTCGTGTACCAATGGGCCTAGGTCAGTTGGTACAGCATGAACTGGTCGAGATACCGACCTGAGCTCAAAAATCCAGATGGAGAATGCTGAATTACCTGGGCCCGGTCAATTTGACGATTATAGAAAAAGACAATTTTTTTTTTCCCCCCATTTTTCTCGTGTGAGTACACCCTCAATCTGGCCCCCTTCAAAGACAATTTTTTTTTTTTTTAATCCCCATTTTTCTTCCAATTCTGCACTGCTGTTTTGATATCCAGAGGAGTTGCAGGTTTTTTGGGAACTCCCCCTCCCTCTCTCTCTCTCTCTGTGTCAGAGTCATTCTCGTTTTGTGGCTGATAATTTTCTCCTGCCTTTTCTCTCTCTCTCTCTCTCCCGCTCCTCTTCTTCCACCTCCCCTCCCTCTCTCTCTCCCACTCATTCTTGCTAATATGGCCGATATTCTCTCTCTCTCTCTCTCTCTCTCTCTCTCTTGCTCTCTCTCTCTCTCATTCTCGCGTTTGTGGTCGATATTTTGCTACCCTTGTGTGGTGACCTCTCTCTCTCTCTCTGTGCTAACCTGTGTGATGTGAACACTATGGCAGGGATCCCGGCCCGTACGGTCTGCTGTCGGAGTAGCCTTGAAGCTGCGAAGATTGTTGTCGTCTCGAAGTTGTGGAGGACGAGGACGAGAGGTTTTATCTTTTTCATTTTTATATCTGGATGTGAAGAGCGTCGGGAAAGAGAGTTTTTGTGATTTAAAAAAAAAAAAACACTTTTATTTCGACTTTTGCTATTGTTATTTTTGTAAGCGCTGTGACGAGCAAGGCAACAGTAAACATGTCACGATGGAAACCTGCGAAGACGGCTGGTCGAGAACCTGCTGCGACATCCACTTCTGTACATAAACCGGGTCTGTGTGACATCGCTTACGACTCGACAGGCAAATACATTGTCACTTGCGGTTCGGATGGCCATGTGAGTGTGTGGCACGCAGGTGTGACAGGCAAGAAACACTTGGATATCCCTGTCTCTCAACAAAAGCGACCCATAACTGCTGCAGTTGTCAGTCCAAATGGCAGTTTTCTGGCAGCAGGTTCCGAAGACAATTCTGTCAAGCTGTACACCTTTCCTGGTAAATACATACTTCCTTGCCTCACATCTCTCTCACATCTCTCTCACATCTCTCTCACAACTCTCTCACAACTCTCTTCTCTGACATCTCTCTCAAAATGTCCCGCATAACTCTCTTCCCTCACATCTCTCTCGCACATCGCTCTCACATCCTCTCTCGCGTCTCCCTTCTCTGACATCTCTCTCTAATTACATCGCTCTCTAATTACATGTCTCTCACATCTCTCTCACCTCTCTTTTCTCTGACATCTCGCTCAAAATGTGTCCCTCACGTCTCTTTCCCATCTCTTTCACTTCTCTCACACTCTCGCACAGTCTCTCACACTCTCTCACACCCTCTCTCTCTCACACTCTCTCACATCTCTCTCACATCTCTCTTGTGTGCATGCACCTCTCTCGCACCTCTCTTGCACAGCTCTTGCACCTCTGGTGCACATCTCTTGCACATCTTTTGCGGTACATGATTTATATCCAACTCTCTCACATCTCTCTGAAATCTCTGTTGTATGCATGCACATCTCTCGGACCTCTTGCACAGCTCTTGCACCTCAGGTGCACATCTCTTGCTTTATATCTTTTCTAGCCTTACATCTCTTCTTGCATGGTTTTTACTGACATCTCTGACACCCTCTGAGCCCCTTGCTGACATCTCCGATATATATTGTCAGACTATCTCTCCGCTGTGGTGCACTGTCATCATTTGCTCTCGCATGGTTCTTGTGTATCTGTGACAATATATGTGTATGTGCTCTGTTGCGCCCCCTTTTCGTTGTGCCTTTCTCTCCTTCTGCCTACCGTCCACAGGGCAGTTCTCTGTGACGACATAGGAGGACATATGTGTGCGTTTATCTGCAGAGTATGTACATGCATGTAGACATAACTTTGGGCAAGGTGGTGAGTCATCCACCAGTCAAATGCATCCTGGGCAGACTGTTGAGGTTCAATCACCTCATGAGGCGGCGAATACACAACACAGTCATGCTTTTTTTTGTGGAATTATGTGTCGCGAATATGACAACAGACATGCCGCTGGATATCCCTGACCGAGTAGGTCTGTAGAGTGGGTTTTATGGTTGTGACGGGCTCGTTTCTCAGACTTGCTGCCCTTTTTGTCGGGGGTCTGGACCGACAGTCTGCTAGGATTGCAGGGTTGGCTTGCGTAAAGGCGACCACTTTCTCAGGGGTAGCCCAAACTCTGGGTCACGTGGTGAGCCCTTATCCATCAGTCAAATGCTTCCTCTGGGCGGACTGTCGGGGTTCAACCTACTGATGAAGTGGTGAAAAACCGACGAAACAGTCTGGCTCGGTACTGCTTTTTTTTATTGTGTATCAGGGTCGCATACCTGCCGACCGCCTACTGTATTGCAGCCGACCAGTAGGGCCGACCGGTCGGCGGTCTGCCGACCAGTCAGAAAACAACCATCCACTGATGTTTTTTCAAATCTGAGTTGGGGGCTGTACTGCACTTGCTGAGTACAGCCCAAATCCGCTGAGAAACTTTTGGGGTTGGGGGGGGCTATGGGGGGCTTATTGGG